TATAAAATTATTAACTATAGTCATTAAAATTTGGTATTTTTTATCACCGTCTGTGTTTGGTGGCTGGAAGGATAGTAACTAAGAAAGTATCTGAAAGCGCTAACAGCCTAAATTAACAAATACCAATCAGGTTTTAGATTGAAAAGGATTTTGATATGCCTTTAAATTATCAAAAAAGGGACCTCCATCCTTGGATTTTCACGTGTGTCGTGGGTTTTTTTTATGAGGGGAAAATCATCTAATGACTTCTCCCGCCCAGGGCCGGGCGGGAGGGAGTGTCAGACTCTTACTGACTAAAAACCCCCCTGTTCCTTCTCCTGCTCTGTGCCGAGGTTGCGGTGCCTCATTGCGCTTACCCCGCAACCCCGGCTGAAGTGTGTCGTGGGTGCGTTCACAATGATACAATTTTGCAATCACACAATGAACACCAAAAATAGGTTATTAACATGAAATACCATCTGCATGTGGTCAATATGTTAATAAATGAGGTTGAATAAGATACCAAAGAGAAAAATTTGTTATTTATCTGTCAATTGTAAAGGTACTTAGGTACTTTAGAGAGAGTAGTTACATTCGTTTTATCCTTGTTTACCCCGACAGCAATTCGAGATATTTTAAGGAAAACTGAATCAGTGGTTTCAATATGGACAAATGTCATACCAAAAATAATGTATTTTTATTTTCGTATCAAAGTTTTCGAGGATGGAAAACAGGACAAGATTGGTTTATAGTAATGCGTTATCGAAAATTTATTAGATGACAAATTACCTAAATATGTGCCTAACAAACAGTATTTAGTTTTATTATTGCCAACCAATCTTCAATGTACGTTGTTCAACGTGTATTGAGTTTGTTTCGGCATTTCTTCTCAGAGTAGTCAGATAGGTAATGCCGGCTTCATCTAGGTAGATTTTTACGTGTGAAAGTGCTGTTTTATGGCCTACTTATTTACAAAAATAAATTCATTGTACTACTACTAACCCGATCATGAACTAAAAGAGATGACGTCATCGTAAAACTACCTCAAAACCTTCAGTGCGTAGAGAAAGGGAGACCGGACATTCACAAACACTAAATCAAAATGTGTCAGAACTTGTGCTGACAAAGTGACAACTGAGTCAGCTCTCGTCACCTTGCTGTGTGTGCTGACCATTATAGACTACTAATTATAGTACATGCATTTTTACTACATATCCAGTAATAGTGATATATAATTCATTAGGACCAAACACGTGGTGTATATGCCTTTTTGAAAAACTATTATAGTAAACTAAGTACTTATTAGTATTATAAGAACAGCTTTACAAGTTTAAAGTCACTCAGAAATTCAATAGACGCCACCGATTTTTTTTTTGTGAGCTGAAAATCATCAAATGACTTCTCCCGCCCAGGGCCGGGCGGGAGGAAGTGTCAGACTCTTACTGACTAAAAACCCCCCTGTTCCTTCTCCTGCTCTGGGCCGAGGTGGCGGTGCCTCATTGCGCTTACCCCGCAACCCCGGCTGAACATCAGTCCTATGGGGCCCCGTCTGTGGTGGTCTATTGGCTCTTTGAGGCGCGCGTGGAACGCTACGCGCCGAACGCTCGGAAGACGCCACCCATGAGACCAGCAACGCGGAGGATTGGGTCTTCGGTAACCTCACTCACACGGCGAAATAGAATGCTTTTGTTCTTTCATGCCGATTTTCTATGAGGCCATGGCGTCAATCCAGTCGAGTTGATCACGCATGGTTATACTTGCCCAGGAATTTATGCTAGACTCGCAAATACTTAAACGTTGTTTTGTATGTAATTTATTTGGGATTTTATATAAATAATAGGTCTTTACCTATGAAATTGCCGTTCTGCAGTACTGGCCATTTCAAATCAAAATAGTTTTTGTTAGGCTAAGGCTAATTAATTTTGTTTTAAAAACATGGGATTCTTTTTCCAAAAGTAGTCATTTGTTTATTGATTAGTGTTACATTTTCATTGCATTTCAAATCAAAAAAATCGTTTAAATTTTTTCATGCAAAACGGCAATTTCATAGGTAAAGACCTATTATTTCTTTATCACTACATGGTATAAAACTGAGTCGCAGAAAAATATTTAAAACAAACAACGGACAACGGATTTTGATGCGGTTATTTTCATACTAGCTTTTGCCCGCGACTCCGATCGCGTGGAATAGTGGCTTCACGCAGATTTTTGGTATAAAAGCTACCCTATGATAGCTTTTATACCAAAAATCTTTTTCGAGTTCCTATCTATGCCTGTACCTAATTTCAAAGACATCGGTTTAGTAGTTTAGGCGTGAAGAAAAGATAGACAGACAGACAGAGTTACTTTTGAATTTATAATATTAGTTTGGATACAGAGTGATTGAACAAGAAGATATATATGAATAATAACATCTATTAATTAGCAGAGAAGTTTAGTATTACCGTGCGAAGCCGAGGTGGGTCGCTAGTGTTGTTATAAGCCCAAAAACAGTTGGTATTTTTTTGCAAAGCCTATCAAGTTTTTCTCGCAAATCTTTTATCTGAGAAGCACGTACTCAGAAGTGCTTCAAGCAGAACACGTTCCTGAGTCAACACATCTGACCTTGCAGCTTCCAATCTAAAAACTCAACATTCTTATAAACAATTTACCAAAAAACTTGAGATACTCTACGTGACGAGATAATTGGTATTTTAATGTGACAAAGTCGTTGAAGTACTTTAAATTCTCGAAAGTACTGCGGTAATCGTGTTGGTCCGTTGGTAAAGCGTCCGCTTCTCATGCAGTACTAGGATAGGTACTGGTAACTTTTTCTGAGCTATATGTGAGGCTCAATGTGTTATTTTTTGTTGTAGATCTTTTGGATTACCTGATGGCAAGCAATCGGCGTCGCCCGACAACACGAGTTACGAGTGCGATTCCGGTCTTTTGGAAATTAAGGTTTCGGGGTGGGATGGAAAGAAAGGATGGATTGGGCCTCCTGTAAACTTACTTACAGGGCGAAACAACGCAATGGTTGTGTCACGCTGTACCCTATTTCATGGGGGTAACACCTGTAAAAGGAATTGAATATAAGAAAACAAAAAAGTCCACAGTGACGCATACGCGTGTTCAATTTCAATTCTAAGAATTTAATAAATGTGTAGATATATGACATATAAGTACAATTAATAAAAAATATAATCCAAGTACAATTCCGTAAACTGATATCTAATTGCCTTTTTCATTTTTCCAATAATCACAATATGAGTACAATTACTTACTGAAGTAAGTAATAACATAATTGTATTGTTTGTCTTTTTATTTCACAATTGCGTACGCTTTTTTGAGAGGAGGAATCATCTAATGACTTCTCTCTCTTTGGGCGGAGTGAGAGGGAGTGTCAAACTCTTACTGACTTAAAACCGCTCCGCTTCAAAGTAGTAGGAAACCTGCAAATAGAAGCGTAGCAATGTGACTTTATATGCGCTGAATTCTCTAATTATTTTAGACACATTATTTTGCTTACTGGGTCCAGCAGTTCCTGTTTCAGTTCAATGCAATAATTTACTGCCGCCGGTAAATTATTGCATTAGTCGCCCGGCTTGGAACAAAAGAAAGAATGAGGTAGTTTTTAGTAATTAAGGGTCTGAATTTAAAAGACACAAATTTGTCTGATTTCCCGGCGTCAAAAATCTTTAACTTTAAAGTAAACACAATGTTATCTCTTAAAGCAAAATCCGCATTACTTACAAACTGCTAAGTGATAAATATAATATCATAAAAAACTATTAATAATACAAGCCTGACTAATAAGTAGGATATGAGAATCAAAAGGTATAATAATCTAACATTTAAAAAGTAAAATGTCATAAACAAAACTGTCTCACCAACCTTGGCGACTGACAGTGACAAATAACACTTCCGTCGCCATACAAGCGGACAAAATCGGAACTAATTTATTTCTTAGAAAAGTCTTTGAACGACCGCCTCATAAACGACACTAGCGCCATTCTTATTTGAAGAATTAAATTGGTTGGTCTACCAAACCCAAAATAAGAATTATTTGCATTTAGAACTTTATTTTGTCACCATAAGAATGTTTTTTCTAATTAAAATATATAATTTTTGTTTCTGTCCAATGTGTAGTCCATTGACGTATTAGTTAGATAATAAACTTTTGTGTTCCATACCAATATTGTAATGTATGCTAAAAGGTATATAAGAATGGGCCTATTGTGTGATTGTGCCTAATAGATCAATGTGAGCTGATTCATTGTAATAATAGTCATTAGATTTATAGTTAAGTATGTATGTCATACATTTTATTTTGTTTTACTTCCTATCTTGTTATAAGTCATGTGTGTCTGATTTATGCTATTTTAATTATAAAGCATTTTTAAAACAACATTTCGTTATAAACTAAGTATATTATTCTATCCCCAAATTCCCGATTTCTAACCCACATCAATTCCCAATCCCCAAATTTCCGATCTCTAGCACCCATCGTCAATTGCCAATCCCCAATTTTCCCATTTCCAAAGATCCTGGCAACACACCTAAAACCTAGTTGAGAATGTTTTTGCCGCCAATGGCTCACCATCAGTTGAATAATATACTTTTTGCACTGGATCGAACCTTAGCGTTTTCGCTATATCCTCATCGATGGTTTGTATTCAACGATTACACTAACAAGACAATTTAAATTTAGAATATAAATAACTATTTCTATTTTCATTACAAAATCCAATGAACGTACGCGTGTGTACCTACCTACTTTAGTCACAATCAAAGAGAAAGCTGCATCTATTTTCAAATCATTGATGCTGATGATAAAAACGATAAAAATAATTACACGGACAATAACAAAAATCTATAACAACATATCATTTACAAACAACAAATGCAGAACGGATTACTCAATAAAACAAACGTGAAATTTTGCGAAATATATAATAACTGATTGGGGTTACGATAACCCAGTTAGAGGAGCAAAAAATGGGAGAACCATTCAGTGCAGTTTGACTCTCGGACCAGTCGCCATGACTGTAAAAGAAGGAACAATTTGTAGCTTAATACAATCCTTCCCTGTTTTCCTAATACTAGCTCAGAATGCCCAAAAGTGTTTGAAAACTCCTTTAGTCTACAAACCTCCAAGCCCCACTCATTCTCCTGAATACTACGAAGCTTTGGACGCGTTATTCCAGAGTTTGTATGGACATGGACATCAAGGGCATGTGCCAACATATCAGAGCTACCCTGTCCACCAAACGCCTAGCGTATCCTGTCAGTATTCTTATGGGTACGGAAAAAAGTGGTCATCCTCTTCCCATGGAGGTTCAAAACCATGCTACCAGTATGTTTACACCAGTGGTACTGATTACCACACTTACGGTACTGGATTACAAGGATATCCTAGCTACGGGTCTTATGGACTGAAGAAAGGAAACATATATGCCCTGAACGGAAATATCACGACGACAGGATACGCTCCCAACCAAGTTTATAACACCAAGAATCGATATCAGGTGGTAGTTAAGAAGACCAGGGTTGGTAACAGGAAGAAGAATAGGAAGCTGCAAGCAGGTCTGTATGATAATTTTATTATTTTTATAATGGAGTGCGTCGTTGGTTTTTTGTTAGTGAAATGGGTTCGGTATTAGCTGAAAAGCATTGATAAGGATCTAAAAGTAAGACAAAATAATTGTAGCCTAGAATAACATACAGGCTACATGTTATTCCGCTAAAGGTTTTTTTTAAGGAGGAGTTATCATTTCATGTGTGTCGTGGTGGCCCTGAGGTTAGGCGCCCGCGTCGCATGTACCATTTCCAAGTTATATGTAATTTCTGTGATTATTTAAAAACCACTGACATACGGTGAATGAAAATATAGTAAGGAAACCTTTTTTTTGTCAGGGGAAAATCATCAAATGACTTACTGACGTGGGAGAGAGTGTCAGACTCTTACTGACTAAAAACCCCCGTTCCTTCTCGTGCTCTAGGCCGTGGCCGCTGTGACTCATTGCGCTTAACCCGCAACCCTAGCATCGTGAGAAAACCTGGGCTTCAAATTTCTAATTAATAGTTTAAAATCGCCAGTCCGCCTTGAGCAAGCGTGGTGATTAATGCTCAAACCTTCTCCGTGTGCGAAGAGTCTTTGCTCAACAGTAGGCTCTTATAGGCTGATGATTTTTTTTTATTCTCAGTTTTAAATGCTTTATTGCTGAGCAATAACGTCACCCTGTAAATAGGCTGATGATGAGATGTGAATCATCTCATGACTACTTCCTCGCTAGGTGGGGCGAGAAGGAGTGTCAGTCTCTTACTGACTAAAAACCAGGCCGTTCTCTCTTCTGTTCCGAGCCAGGGCTGTATGTAGTACATGATTCCACTTGCACCCACAACTCCGTCTGAATGCCGATAACCCTAGCGAACTATTGACAAAATCAGTAACGTTTATAAAAATTGTATCTTCTGACGTCGTGGTGGCCCGAAGGTTAAGGAGCCCGCTTCTCATGCATGAGGGTGTGGGTTCGAAACCTGGCAAGTACCAATGTGACTTTTTCCGAGTTATATGTACTTTCTATGTTTATTTAGACACTACTGATATACGGTGAAGGTAAACATCGTGACAAAACCGTACAGCTTACAATTTCTAATTATTAGTTTGAAATCGCCAACCCGCATTGAGCAAGCGTGATGATTAATGCTCTAACCTTCTCCATATGAGAAGAGGCCTTTGCTGATGATGATGATGTATCTTCTAAAGTCAACATTTAAAAAGAAATATTGCACATAGTACTTTATGATTATGACAAAAAATAACAATTAGCGCTATTACAGGTACATAAATAATTGCAATACATTTGTCGCTAATAATCGGACGTGTAATTTTATCCTCCATTCTGTAAAATTATTATCCTGCAGATAAACACTTAAACACTTGATTGCGTCGTAAATAATGTGCGCCATTACTGTTTAAATTGTCAATATTCTATAGTAGTATTCGTGTATGTATCCTTTATATACATATATACCATTCATACTGAACCTATGTACCTATATATTGTTATGTCTGTAGATACATCACCAACATCACAACATCAGCCCTATACTATTCAGATTCTTCTGAGAAAAGCCCTCTTCTCACGAGAATAGACGCCGTACTCCCTTTTTTGAGGTGGAATGGTTAAAAAGATTTTAACGTCTTTAAAGTCTGGATAGTAATGTTTTTAATGTTAAAAATGTGGAAATTGTTAGCTTTTGTGATGCCTATTTAGCCTTTGTTTTACTCTATACAGTTTAGAAAAATATCTTAAATGTTGGCGAAATAAAAACTTTTTTAAAACCGCTGCGTGGCGAATTTGGCAATGTAAACAATTTCAATCAGATTGTGTCCGATAGGGATGATCTAAAAAAAATCAAACTAAAAAAATCATCATCATCATAATTTTTATTAATCCGGGTCATTATGAATTTCAAAATATTGTGATGGTATAACTTAGTGTAAATCCAATTCTTAGATTTTATTTTCTAGTTCGTGTTAAAAATACAAATACCCATACTTAGGAAGTACATAGCAAGAAACGTTATTCGTTACATTACAAGTATTGTTATAGTGTACCACATATAAAATAAATAAAAAAACATGAACTTGACAAAATATGTTTTCATACCTATAGGAAAAATAATGTTTTTATCGAACGAGGATAGACGGAGACCACAGAGTGCCACTTACAACGATACTTTACATTTGTTTCTGTCCCTCCACATTCATAACTCAGATTCATTGGTACATTTTTATAATCAAAATAGATTTTAATGAATTAAATTAATATGTTGTATGAATTAAAGCTATATTTGCTTAAATTACTTAGTTTGTTTTTAAAAGTTCCGTATCGAAAGGGTTAAAACAGGAGAACCATATTACTTTTTTTAATATTAATTGTTGCCCCACCCTAGGATTTTCTCCTGTTTCGTGGGTGAATTTACAAACATACATTTTCACATGCACATCACACCCAGACCCGAAACAACAATCTGTGGATCACACAAAGAGTTGTTCCGTGCGGGAATCGAACTCGCGACCCGTTGCGCGGCAGCCTATTGCCCAGCTACCGCACCGTGCATTACTTAGACTCCACTGTCCGACTGTCTGTCTTGTCTGTATCTAAGAACGGCGGTAGTTCCAACTACCACTCCTAAAAGCCATATGTCATTAAGTCCTCCTTTTACTTATACCAATTTCTTGTCATTACAATAGTAACGATTAATATTAAGGACTATAGTAACGATTATAATTAAGGACAATAGACGACCGTTCCGTGAGGAGATGTTTCTCAGACTGCCAGGGAACTGGCAGGCAATCTTTACATTGGATGTGTTTTACAGACGTTGCATTAAATTATCGTAATGATGACGTTGCATTTAATTATTGTAGTAATGACGTAACACGGTCTCAGCATAAACCCTTACATGTCGGGGATGTAACAGTACGGAACATTTCGTTCGCGAGGAAAACTCTTGCTGGACCTCGTTTTGTTGAAAAAAATGTTCAAACACTTGGGATCGTTGACCTTTACACAATAATAAGCCTACGCGAACTTTTTTGCTTATCATTACATAATTTTATTTTGTCGGAAATTAAATACTGTTTACATTTGTTCTTAAATCATCACTCATTTTCGACCACAACGTACTATAATTAACTGCTAGTGAATATGTATGAATTACGAGCGACTCGCTCCGGCTTGGCATGGTTGCAATGCTTATACATAATTTCTCCATTATTTGATGGATGTTATGTATACATGTAAAACTCCCTCGTCAATCACTTGATCTAATGAAAAATCCGCATCAAAATCCGTTTAAAATAGGGACAGAGAAATGAAAAACATACATATGTATGCAGTGCTATAACTCGGGTCAAACCGCGGGGCACAGCTAGAATAAAATAATGTTGAAGAAACCGTTCTAAAGTCAAAGTCAAGGTCAAAGTCAAAATTATTTATTTCAATTAGACCCATACAGGCACTTTTGAACGTCAACACAACTTTAAAGATACAAAGTGTCAGTCTGTCGGTCAGTCCTCTTAGTGAAGCTATTCGCTCGTTCCAAAGTGTAGATTCCGATGGAGAAGAACGAGCAAGAAACTCCATGGTTACTCTTTTAAAATCAGGGTCACATAAACATTCTTTGATACATTATTTAGTTAGTTTGAATATGTGAGAACAGTGTAACGCGTGTATACAGAGAAACACAAAAAGAAAATAACCTTAAGGACAATAGACAGTCCGGAGCTGACCAGTCCCAATTGACGGCGCCCGTTCACGAGCATGACACGTACACCAGCATCGCCCAACTCAACCATAATATAGGGAATCGAGCGATCCAGTGACCGTGCCACCGCCAATGTGACATAAATTAAGTTTTTCCGAATCTAAATTAAGTTTTGATTGAATCATCAAATAGGAATAGAATATTATCATAAATATGTTATATTCACATTTTTTTTTACTAGCCTGTAATGTCCCCTGCTGGGCAAAGGCCTCCCCATCTCGCTTCCATACCTCCCGATCCTTCGACCATGTCCACCAGTCTCGACGATAGTCGTCTTGATCGTCACTCCATCTTTTCCGGGGCCTACCCCGAATGCGGCTTGCATCCTGAGGTGTCCACTGGGTGACAATAGTGGCCCATCTCTACGGATGCATTCGCCTGACGTGTCCGGCCCAGTCCCATTTTAATTTTGCCGCCTTTTGGCCCACATCAGGGACTCCTGTTTTTTCACATACTAACGTCCTGTAAACATAGCTCAGTGGGCGAAGTAGCTATGCAACTAGCTGCTGTACAACACATCGCGGATTGGATTCCGGCACGAAACAAATATGCATCCGGCTTTCGCCGCTTCACAAATTGTTGTCCGGAATGCGATACGTTGCATAGCACCCCATAGCCCAGCTACCCACGACACGGAAGAAAATCCTAGTATGAGGCAACGTCTTTTCTTTAACAACAAAATCCACGGTAATGGCCACTTGACTAAGTACATAACATTGTTTATAACGGAATGCACGAAGTTCTTAACCGATCAGTATCACGGTCAATCACCAACCTTGTCTGACCATGATTTGGATACACGTCACAATCACAGCCGTCACCGCTTCCCCCTGTTCCGGATACTGTGTGAAATACCCAAATATTTCAAAGACTATGAATTTCCCTGGCGTGTGACGTCATTAACATTGGCCATTGAGCTTATATGACTTCAATCAAGTTGATCAAGTTTAGTCTTGGATCAGTGTCGGTAACTGACGGACGCGTGTTGTTTATAAATCGGTTTAAGTGTACGCGTAAACACGCGTTTTGATGTGGTGATGGCTTTAAGAAGATCCCTTGTGTTTTTGTGTGTCTATTTCTCTGTGCAAAATGTGATCTGTCAATTTGGTGAGTTCCCATTCGAATAGAAACTTTAAATAAGGCTGAATAAGTTTGTTTTTTCATAGCTTTAAATACGTTATCGTGTGTGTGTATTCTTCTCGTAATACGAATGACCTTTGAAAATGTCAAGATTTTATCAATAATTAAACGTTATTAAAAATAAATAGTAGGCATGTGATACGTGGTCGTAGTAACAATAAACTAACAAATTTAACGTGAAGTTATACCTAATATGTTTGCATTTGCATGGCCGTCCAATTAAACAACTTGCACTCAATTTGTAGGTAACTGTGAATGAATTTGCATGGTTAATCTTTCATTCTAACAAACATATAATTTAAATATAGGTAATACATCTCTTCTTGGTAATTCAGTTACGTTGTTTAGAAAGAGATTGAGATCATTCTTACGTATAATTCTAAAATAGCTAGGGTAGTAAATGCGAGCGCTATTAGTTTAATCTACCGCGTCCCTGGACCAGGAAAAGAAACGGGTTTTTTTGTCAATAAGAGTCTGAAACTCCCGCTCCCGCTTAGAAATATGTTGGTTTTCAACTCTTTAAAATAAAACATCATTGGATATTATCAACAATCCAAAATAAATAAGTAAATACTACATGAAAACAGACAACAAAACATCGCATAAATTGTACTATAAAAAAAACAAGGAAAAACATTCTGCTAATAAAAAAAAATACTACATCATTGAGATTGTCTACGTGTAATTAGTTTACAATGGCTAGCACGTCAACGTACACCAATCATTCAATGTTTTCAATGAATTTTCGACTTTATACGTAATAAATAAAGTTGGAAGTCTAATAAAGAAATTTGACAGAAAAGTATAGATTGATCTGCTGGGTATTGTAAACTGTTTAAGTGTCTAAGTGTGTGTGAAGTTTGCAATCTGATTGTAGGATCAGAGTTCAATAGTACGGATGTAGTAGGAAGGGCTTCCCCTTTTCTTGCTATCATTTGAGATAAGGTTTTCAATTAACTACCTCTTAAGTGAACTAGTACTTAGGTATTGTCAGTTTTCGCGGGTCTGCGGACGGCGAGTAAGGGTAGCTCGCCGCCCGACCAGAACCGGACCCGAGCGTACGGCGCGTAGCGTTCCGCGCGCGCCTCAAAGAGCCAATAGACCACCACAGTCGGGGCCCTAAAGGGCTGATGTTTAGCCGGGGCTGCTGGGTAAGCGCAATCAGGCACCGCGACCTCGGCCCAGAGCAGGAGAAGGAACGGGGGGTTTTTAGTCAGTAAGAGTCTGACACTCTCTCTCGCCTTACCCTGGGCGGGAGAAGTCATTGGATGATTTTCCCCTGACAAAAAAAAAGGTATTGTCAGTTTTAAATTTGCTTAGCACTAATCATCCCTTCTCTTAGCCAGGTTAAGTATTGATAACCGTATTCGCTTTTGAAACGAAATGAACGTTTATGAATGAATAGCCATGGACCAGCAACAACAGATGAATTAAGAGTGTGCTGCCGACCTTTTGGAGATTAAAGCTGAAAACGTATAGATAATTTGACAGATTTATAGTAAAACACAATTTATATAAAGATTATTTATTATGATATTAATTTTACTTATTTACACATCAAACAAAAATAAATTGCTATATAAACATCATAAAGTTCAACTTTGCGTGTGTCAGTCTGCCGGTCTGTCCTCTAGTGAAGTCACTTCTCGTTCCAAAGTGTATACTATTGAGGAGAAGACAGATTAAGAAACTCTGTAGTTCTTTACTCTTTTTAATTTTCATAAATAAGCAATAAATGAGTAAATAATAGAACTTCGTTTTTCGCGACAATTCAATATCGTACCGGTGTATAGCGTAACCTACCACTCTCAAAATCCTCAACCAACGAGACATTCTGTGAACATTAAATTCAAATTCATATATTAAGTATGTGTTTCACAACTTGTGATACACAAACATTTCAAGATATTAACATTTCTCAATATCCAGTAGTTATCGTCGTAACCCTCGCAGTCACCTGACCTTGTCCAGTCATGATTCGGGCCATGAACCCCAACTATTGAACTTGAATGTACTGTGACACGAGTGCCTATAACCTACTATGTATTTTCACCACAAGTCGTGGTGGCCGCGGTGGTTAAGCAGCCCGCTTCTCATGCATGAGGGTGTGGGTTCGAAACCTGGCAAGTACCAATGTGACTTTTTCCGAGTAATATACTTTCTATGATTATTTAGATACCACTGACATACGGTGAAAGTAAACATCGTGAGGAAACCTGGACTTATAATTTGTAAGTTTGAAAATTATAAGTTTGAAATCGCCAACCCGCATTGAGCGAGCGTGGTGATTAATGCTCTAACCTTCTCCGTATGAGAAGGCCTTTGCTCAGCAGTGGGCACTTTTAGGCTGATGATGATAATGACTATGTATTTTAGACGAAGGTTTTTTATGTAATAGGTCGGCAAACGAGCATACGGATTATCTGATGGTAAGCAATCAGTGCCGCCCATGGACACCCGCAACAACGGAAGAGTTACGAGTGCTATGCCCACCTTTTGGGGATTTAGGGATTGGGGGAGGGCGTTGAGGTTTTCTGTGAGATTGTGGTATTACTGGTCGAGCCGACCCATGGAGACCCATTTGAAGGTCGTACAGGAACGCTATTCGTTCAATTAAAATCGTCAAAAACCGATAGAATTGTCACATTCGGAATTAAGTTCGTTTCATTAATCCTTAATTATCTAATGGGCAGCAGTTGAAATCCTGTTCAATACTAAATTCCTTAAAAAAAGTTTATTAAAAATTCAATACTTTTTTGCCCGACTTAGGTACTGAATTTGAAACCTTGAGCTCAGCAGTATATACATTAAAACGTGCAATCAATGAACAATGATTCATATAGGTATATTTTTTTCTAAATTTCATGAGAAAAAACCTGTGTAGCAAAATTACATCCGCGAATATGAATAAACTATACATATAGTATAGTATTTCATAAATAATGGTATTGCAATGTACATTAATATTCCAAAAATCCATGAAGTAAACCGGCGTGAAACAACGCTAACGTTTGACATTCACAGGTTACCTGAAGCCCAATCTATCCCTTCCATCCTTCCTTATTTCTATCCTCAATCCTCAGATCTCCTATCCATAATACCTAAAATTTTAAAAACCCCCGACAAAAAAATCTAATATTCCTTTAAAAACTAATAATTAAAAAAACGTGGGGTTGGGGGATATCCAAATCTAAATATTTTATTATCTACTAAATATTTCTATTTTATCGGGGGTCTAATTTATTTTTTTATTTTATACTTTTATAAAATATTTTTTTTTATGGGTATTTTATATCATTTTCTCTCGATTTTTTTTTTGTTCGATTTTCGAAGTTATTCAACATTCCCTTTCAGTGCGCTTTCATTTGAGACCCCACTCGAGTATATTTGCAGACCTTCGGTTACCCTTCCCCACTTACCCCCATAACTTCTAAACAGCTGAACCGATTTTCGCCAAATATGTCTAAGAACACTCGCACGTAAGTCACCTTTAATACATAAAAAAAACTAGGTAAATTGAAATCGCTTCATTCGTATAACACCCTCTTTTCCCATCCGGGATTAAAACCCACAAGAGGACGCCAACGTACTTGTAACCTTTGGTATTATGAGTGTCCAAGGGCAACGCTGATTGCTTACCATCAGGTAATCCGTCCGAAAGCCTGGCGCTTTTGACGTATGACGGATTACCTGATGGTATATGTGATTCCCCAAAGCGTTATGGTTGAGCTCTCCCCAATACCGGCATTACATCCAAATCGGAGCGTTGGTAACGTCAACCATGTGTAAACGAACTCAACAGAAGGCTATACATATTATTAGCTGAATCATATTCGTCACACAAAGAAATTAATTGCTAAATGTGACATTGCACTTTGGTTGCACGTGCAACCCAGTCAATCAACTTTTCAATAAATTAAACATTTGCAAAAAAATAAAGTTATTTTGTCCGTAACTATAATACTTTACGCGCCAATTACGCCGGCAAAGAGCATTTATGTGCTCAATGTATCTAGTACTTAGATAAATTTTAACAAACTCTTTTATAACACAATTGCATATTTTAAGTGTATATTGTCAGAGCCTGTTTCGAATGCAGCTATTTTACTATACAAAATAGTATATGTATAAGGTTTTTAAGTCGGAATAGCGTTAATCTTGTATTAGGTTATGTTGGGGCTGCCGTGGTCATATTGTGACCAAAAGCCCCTTTTATAGTGGATAATAAAAAAAATATTTTAAGTGTCAAACAATCATGCCGTAGTGATACCACGGCCTCATAAAAACCGACGTGAAACAACCACAGCGTTGGTGAGTGAGGTCATCGGAGGCCCAAACCTTTTCCTCCCTCCATTCCTGCTCAATCCTTGAATATGATCCGGAGTGATACCACGGCCTTACAGAAAACCGGCGTGAAACAACCACAGTATTGTGTTTCGCCGTGTGAGTGAGGTTACCGGAGACCCAATCCTTCCCCTTCCCAATCCCTCCCCAGTTCCTAAATCTCCAAATCCCTAATCCCTAAAAGGTCGGCAACGCACTCGTAACTCCTCCGTTGCGGGTGTCCATGGGCGGCGCTGATTGCTTACTATCAGGTAATCCGTCTGCTCGTTTGCCGACCGATTACATAAAAAAAAAAATTCGAAACCCTCATCGTCAAAAGGCTAGCAACGCACTTGTTACTCCTTTGGAGCTGCGGAGCATCCATGGGCGGCTCTGATAACTTACCGTAATCCTCATTTGCCAACCTATCTCATAGACAAAATATTAATAATAGATGTTTTACATTTTAACTACCGATTGTTTTTATAGCCCTTTACACCTCAAAACAGCAGCCATCGACAATCATCTTTAAGGCCAAAATAACCTCAACCTCAAAATTATCATATATATATATCACTAACATATATCACTAACATTATCATCAAACACTGATAGCAATGTTACTTGAATAACAAACGAGTTCCGTTTGCAATAAAAACTACATAAAACGAAGCGAAAACGGTAACCATTGACACTGAGCGAAGCCGCTTATGTAGGTATGTTGTGAGGAGCAAAAAATACGCAAATACATAAACATCAAGTACTTTGTCTATGAGGAAACTCGTGGACACCTGGTCAGTTTTATAGTACATACTATTTCATTGTGTTTATAAACAATATGTTGTTAAGAATATTTTTTAATTAGTGCGAAAATGAAAACAAAATTAATCACTACATAGTGTAAAACAAAGTCGCTTTCTCTGTCCCTATGTATACTTTAATCTTTAAAACTACTCAATGACTTTTTTATTTGTAAGGTTTATATTTTTTTATATGTTTCTTTAATAATATTAATAAAATTGCGAAGAAATTAAGTATCAGCATTGCAACCGTGCTAAAGCCTGGTCGCTAAGAAAAATTGTTTGTAAAAAAGGTAAAATGAAAAAAAAAAATTAAATACTTATTCGTATTGAAAGAAATAGATATTTAAAAAATAAAACGCATTTTCACCTAAGGAGCGGCTGATAGAAAATTCGTTCTGTCTTTTATAATATATCTTTAATTTTTTTTTGCTTTTTTTATTTATCTCTGATTATAGTATATCTTCCGAAAGATTAAGACCTCGTCCTCGGCTATGTGAATGAAAAAACAAAAAAATCTACTCTTTAACTGTCTTTATAATTTTTTATTCAGAATTAACTAATCCTCTAACTACTATTCATGTACATTGTGTCTCACTTTCGACTTGTATCTGATTAACAACTAACATTGACTACACTGATTGTGCAGTAGCAGAACAACCAGCTGTCATGCAACGAGTCACTGGTTCATATCCCACTCAGAATAACTGTGACCCTGTGACCGAGAAATAATGTGTGAAAACTAATAAAAATTAATAAATAGTTGTTCCATGGCTGGGTGTGATGTATATGGGAAATTGCATGTGGGTAAACCTACTCACGACACAGGATAAAAATCCTAATGTGGGGCAAATAAAAAAAACACGTTATGACGTTAAATCACATAACTAGTCACCATAACCTAACCATGTTCTTGATACGCACTTAAATCCAGAACAACGTGTCTTAACCGGAATAACAGGTTAATTGTAACCGGAAATAAATAAGGTAGGTATAATGACACGGATAAGTATACATAAGACAATTATTATTTCTCGGAAAAAAGATCGACTTCAAAACAGCGAATGGTCATACATTGCTTAGCCGAAAACATCATTTATAATAATGATAAGACTAGTTAACGACGTCATGTTCTTTCACAGGTTTCTTCCCCCAAAGAGGCAACCGACACAATGGCTTCTTCGGCCAGGAGTTCATGCAACCCAGAAGACCGGATAGATTTTCCAACTTCTTCAACCTCCAACCAAAAAGACCAGTGATCAATCCAGAAAATAACCAGGAAAATATCTACGTTTATGAAATTAGTCCGGGATCACCAAACCAATATGACTACAATGGAAGACCTGTCGTTTTCCCAACAAACAGACCTATATATAACCAGAATGGTCTGAATAATGGTAACGTTAATTTCCAAAACAATCCCAACAATGTGAATTTCCAAAATCCAAACAATGGAAATTTCCAACAGCCCTCTTATGACGGTAGTTTTCAACCAGCACCTAATGATGGTAGCTTCCAACCCGCTCCCAGTGACGGTAGTTTCCAACCAGCACCTAATGATGGAAGTTTCCAACCAGCTCCCAGTGATGGTAGTTTCCAACCAGCACCTAATGATGGAAGTTTCCAACCAGCTCCCAGTGATGGTAGTTTCCAATCAAATCCCAGTGATGGTAGTTTCCAAACAAACAATGACAATGAAGTAAATACAAATCAGGAGAAACCCCCTCAAAACGGATCTAATGGCGGTTTTCAAGATGTGAATACAAACACGACTCCTGGACCAGGTAATAATTATTTTGACATACTATATTTGATAGATTAGTGTGCGTTAGTGACTAAGTGCAATATTTTTTTTCAAAATATAGGAACTCGCCGTACATTTTGAAAAAAAATTTCAAATGGTTTTCGTTGGCTTGCCCTCGAAAAAACGCTTACAAACATTTGCATATCGCATGAAAATTTTAAATTTCATTTTGATAAAAATAATATTATTAATTTTGTGACTAGAAAAATTATTACCTTGGTCTCTGCTCAGTAGTATCGGGTCGTTGACCAGGGTCGTCATAATATGTTTTATATCTGATCACCTTTTTACACGGTATTTGCACGAATAAATGGTTTCGTCCAATCCATATAAATACAAGAATTAAATGACAGCTCACCATCATACGAAAAACATCAGTGAATCAAATTTTTGTCCAAATACCTCTAAATATATTTATAACAATTTGAATCTAATTTGAAACATTCGAAATATTCTTTACGACACTAAAGTTTCGATCCGTTAATTATATTCATAATTAAGATTGAAGGATTACTAAAATCATTAAAAACTGGTATTTTCTCTCAAATGTTACTAATATAGCAAATCTTTTTATTACGATAAAATTGTATCGAAAAACCAGTTCAATAACACAATCCTGTTTAAGAATTTTAAATCCAATCTCAACGAATAATTTTATAATAATATAAAATAAATTAAAACATACATATCTTATCCGATTTACATCAAAATTAAAGAAGACTTGCTTAAAAACTTAGATTATGATGTTATCAAAGATTGGTAAAATATACGTATAATTCTTAGTATTAATACTTAGATTGAAGATGATAAAGATTAGGGTATGTTTGCAGAAGATATTGGCGTCACCGCACCAAATGATCCAGTGAACTTTGAAGATGTATCGACTTGGCCACCACTAACTCCAGTACCAACTGTCTCCACAGAGTCAAGGAACAGCTTCAATTTCCAACAAAACCAAGGAGTATTCAGTAAGTTTAAATGCTAAAACGCTAACAAACAAAATATAGTAGATTTCAAAGGTGTTCCCCAGGGTAATTTACTAAAGCTTTCGATAAATCACGGAAAATAGTATCTAGTAGTAGTACTACGAAACAGCTTTTTAGAAATAAAGAATGAGTTATTAAAATCTTTTGAACAAAAACGTATTACGAACAAAAAGATTTGCTTAGTTAGCTAACAACATTATAAGTAGTTATTCGCAGGCTTGTGCTAATATTTAAACCAAATTTTCTGTTTTCTTTGGCCTCTCGCTTTATTGTTTCTTCTGCGTTGTTATTATCATGCTTTTCATTCCTAGCTAATACACGTTGGAGATGTTTTCTATTCGTTCAGATTCAATTTATCAATTTGCATTTCTTATTTGTCCTGTTACTACACTTCGTTGACCTCCCTCTGTTGACTCTACTGTATGTAATGGATCGACTCTTGCGCAAGTTTCAATGTTGTGTTAATAAATGAATCACTTTTCAACCTTCGATTTTACCTGTCTATCTGCTACTGAACGTGTATCTTAATTATTATTATTAAAATGACCTTTATAGTTTTAATATGTTCTTCGGTTATAAATCGTAGATAGTGTTATATTTAATAAAAAAAATATATTACTAGTCCTAGACGTAATTGAGTCTTTGTGTGCTTTATTTAAGGCAATTTCCATAATGCAATACTTTTCTTTTACTAAATCAATAACATTAAAGGGACATTTGCTATTTTTAGTAGCAGAGTTCTATAAAAATGTAATTTTAACGTCTAATAATTAAGAAACGGAGATTTGGAGTGGAATCGATTATAACATAAGAATCATAAACTAAAAACCGGTTTTGGTATTTTTAATAATGTCTTACCGAACCGAGAGGTCAGACAGTTCACGTTCAATCAACGCTTCTACAGCAGATCAATAAAAAAGTCATTGTTAAGTTACAAAAGCAATCCATTCGGGGAAGAACTTGCAAAAAAGTTACCTACCTACTAAAATTCAATAAAAAATACATCTTATGATTTGAGTGCGAGTATTTATTTTCCTTTGAACATAAAGATGTTCAGTTGTTTTTGTTTTCGGTGTCATCTTGGTCGAATTCCCTGTTTTGTGTGTCACGGCTATCGGGACTGAACAAGCTACCTTGCCCGGATGACCTCCCAACCTTTATTGATAACTTACCATTACATCGTAGGACAATTTGGTATTTTTTTTTAAGAATTAATAAACTTTAATTCATTTATTTTATTATCTGAATGGATTGTAGATGTCAACAAAGTACCTAATTATGTTTCAAGTGAATATTTTTGTACATGTTTGGTTACTGCGCTCGGGATTTTTCTGCTATTTTGCAATTGTGGAATTATTAAAGGTTATATTACCTACTCGCTTTTGCCCGCGACTCTATGTCCTTTCTCGAGTTCCTAACTATGTCTGTACCAAATTCCACAGAAATCGGCTCAGTAGTTTAGGCGTGAAGAAAAGACAGAGAAACAGAGTTACTTTAACTTTTATAATATTAGTATAGATCATCAGGCGAACTGTTTTAATATTCTTATGAAACTATTGATATTTTCTCTTGTGAGGACAACAATTTTCAAATGACTTCTCTCCTCTCGCTCAGGTTGAGGCGATAGGGAGTGTCAGACTCTTATTAACTAATAAAATCACCCGTCCCTTCTCCTGCTTTCGGCCGAAGCCGCGGTACCTACCTTATTACGCTAGCCCTGTAGCCCGGCTGAAGGCTGAACATCGTATATACATAAATAGTGAAGAAATTTAGTATCGGCTTTGTGCGAAGCCGGGGTGGGTTGCTATTCCAAACTAATATTATAAATGCGAAAGTAACTCTGTCTGTCTTTTCTTCAAGCCTAAACTACTGAACCTATTTTTGGGAAATTTGGTACCACAGACATAGTTTAGAACTCGAGAAAGGACATAGAATAGTTTTTATACCAAAAAATGCAGGAAGTCACTATTCTACGCGAACGGAGTCGCGGGCAAAAGCTAGTATTAAATAATTTAAACAACCAAATAAAAAGATAAACAATGTATTATTATATGCTTTTAATAAGCACAGCTTGTGTAGCACGCGTAAAGGCGCGCTCACAGATTACCAATTACCAAAAAATATAATGCTTATCGTTTTATCAACTCAATCACTCAATATCTCATAAATTACTGAATCAATATCAATGTAACTTTTCACATTTTATAAGCTAGCTATAATAATGTCATAATAAAAGTGACTTTGCCTTAGCAGGTAGATTCTGAGTAATGTATATAAATAATTTTAGTTAAACAGCGGGTCAAAATAGCAAAATGTCTTTTAAAAAACGATAGAAGACACACGAGTTGCACAATTATTGGAAATACCAATTAAGAAAAAAAAAAAAACAAATAACTTTTAGAATATGAACCATTATTTTTGAAGGGGAAACCATTAACTGACATTATACCTCCGGGGTGGGGCGAAAAGGACTGTGGCTCTTAAATGGTAAAACTAAAAACCATGCCGCTCCCTCTTCTTCTCCGAACCAAGCCGTAGTATATTATACTTTATAATGGAGACTTAAGAATGATCTCACTCGCATAAGCCATCTACGTGGCACAACCGAGAGTACAACGTGAAGCATTTTCTCAAAGACCTAATAGACCACTACCAAAAGGGCCAATGTTCAGCCAATAGCCAAGCTTCATCAAGAACGGGTCGGCTCGACCAGAGTGATACCACCTCCTACCTCATAGAAAACCATAGCGTTGTGTTTCGCCGTCCCTACCACTCTTCCCATCCGTTTCATATCTCTAAATATCCGAAACCCTTACCCCCAAAAGGCCGTAACTCCTTTTGTGTAGCGGGTGTCTTAAGGCGCCGCCGATGGCGTACCATCAGGTAATCCGCTTATTTGCCGATCTAACCCATAAAACAAAAAACAAAAGCCCTACGAGGCGAGTCATGTTATGAAATCTTACCAATATACATTTTCGCCTATACCATAGGAACTCTCATAAGTACTTTCGACTATAGTACAAATACATTAGGTTCATTATAATTTGTTCAGAAGTTATAATTAGCATATTAAGTAAGGAATAAAAACGAAACAATACGGATATATACGTATAATTAAAATTGGAAATAACAAGTTTCTGTATCGAATTAGCTAATGCCGCGATGTTAAGGTTTTTTACAAAGAAATATTACTAATATCAACAAATACACAATTTTAAGACGCTGACGCTGTCAAGGTCAACCGCTTACTGCGGGTCGAACGTTTTTACAATATTCTGTTCATTTTTGCTTCTTGTAACTATGCAGCGTCAATGAAGATGAACACATTATGTATGTGTACATTAAAACTGGTATTTTGTTAAGACAATTATTGACAAATTGGTTGGATTTATTATTAAGATAAACCAGCTGTGCTGTACAATTTTTTTTGGTAATAGATCGGCAAATTATTAGACGGATTACCTAATCGTAAGCAATCAGCGCCGCCCATAGACATCCGCAACGGAGGAGTTACGAGTGCGTTGCCGACCTTTTAGGGATTAGGGATTTGGAGATTTAGGGATTGGGGAAGGGGAAGGATCGGGCCTCCGCTAACCTCACTCACACGGCGAAACACAACGCTGTGGTTGTTTAACGCCGGTTTTCTGTGAGGCCGTGGTATCACTCCGGTCGAGCCGACCCATTCGTGCCGAAGCATGGCTCTCCCACACTTAATTTATTTGAGTTTCATTTCACCTTCAAGGAAAATGTGTAGCGTGTTACCTATTAGTCTTAAGAACCGGCAACGCACGTGTAATGTCACTGGTGTTACGGGTATTCTTGCAAAGTGCTACTCACTTTGTTATCAGATGATCTCACGTGCTCATATTTACCCCCAATCATCAATAAAGGCCTCTTTTCACGAGGATAAGGTGAATTGGCGATTTCTAACTTATAACTTTACTTAGGCGGTTGTTTCATATTTTATTAATTAGTTTAAGAGTTAGTTTTTTAAACTTTTCCTCGAATCGCTTCAATCTGAAATTTGAAAATACCAATTTAGAAAAAGCAATTTACTTTATAATTTAACCTCTATTGTTTGAGATCATCAAATGACATTCACCAGAGTCGGCATGAACATTACAGTGGGCACTTATAGGCTGATGATAGGAAGAGTCTGACACTCTACAGAGCCAGAAAAGGCAACTGCTCATTTCCCCCCGTTTAAAAGAAAAAGACGCGGAAAAACAATTTGGGCATCACACAATGAATTGTTTAGATTGGGAAGGTAACCGCGACACATAGCACGACAGCCTTTTGCAAAGCCACCGCGTCAAGTGTGCTGTCAATTTCTTTATTGGCTGATAAAGCTTGTTTGATAAGAAAGAATGAGTACTTAGGTATACACGGACAGTCAAAGAAAGCACTGAAGCGTAACAACTACCAAGTAGGTATCTCATCATACCATAATCAGCCTATAAGTGCCCACTGCTGAGTAAAGGCCTCTTCTCATACGGAGAAGGTTAGAGCATTAATCACCACGCTTGCTCAATGCGAGTTGGCGATTTCAACTTATAATTAGAAATTATAAGTCCAGGTTTCCTCACGATGTTTACCTTCACCGTATATCAGTGGTGTCTATTTAATCATAGAAAGTACATATAACTCGGAAAAAGTCACATTGGTACTTGCCAGGTGTCGAACCCTCACCCTCATGCATGAGAAGCGGGCTCCTTAACCTCCGGGCCACCACGACATATAGTAGGTATCTACATTGATAAAAAATCCGCCGTCAAATTAACAAGGATTAGTCATTTCATAATTACAGATATCATAACGATATGAAGGATATGAGAAATATTAAATATTTTGATATGTACATACCTACATACCTACATACCTACCTATTATAAAGTATTTAACGTAATAATGAAAGTCACGATGATATTTAGTTTCGAATGGCCTACGTGTATATGCGGCTAATTCAATTATTATTATAAGTTAAGTATTTAATCAGAAATCCCGATAGGACATCTATATGTTTGTCTTAAGTATATTTTTTGCAAAATTTTCCTTAAACTTATATCAGTCTGTTGATCGATAGCAGGGCTGCAAATCAGGGAGTAGAAGATTCAATCTATCTGATTTAAAATTTTTGAAGTAATTACACGTTTTCTAACATCTTCTTGTGCTGGCTACTATTGTCGTAACTTTTTGAATAAATTGACTATACCACATAAATAGAATGCTTCAATTCGAACCAGTAGTTCCAGAGATAAGCGTGTCCAAACAAAAAATATTTTCGTCTTTACTTAATACTAGCTACTCTCTCGCGGTTTCACCCGCTGCTCGGCTCCATTTAATCGAAGCGTGATGTTTTATAGCCTCTAGGAACATTGTAGCTATCTATCAGTGAAAGAATTTTGGCAATCCGACCAGGCGGTTCCAAAGATTACCTCCAACATATAAACTCTTTATAATATTAGTATAGACTATAAATAAAGATAGATTTGCTTTTCCTACCACTTATGAAGTTATATCTAACAGAGATGCACTTACCACTCCTATTTCTCCACCACCCAAAGGTAGACTGGCAGGGAACGCCTAAGGCGTTAAATCCGCCATTGTTCGTTGTGCAAGAAGTGTAAAATAAATAAATAAATACATTACCGCCAACGTATTTTGGCGAGTCTGAAGTTAGCCGATTAGCTGCGCAGTACAGCTCTCGCCAAACTTTGTGGCCGCCCTGAATATAGTCGCGAGTCCGAACTTCCGCATGGTACAGTCGAGTAGTCAACGTAATCAACCAATATTAGTATATACGCAATCAACCAGTATTAAAAATGTTAAAAAACGAACATTGTACACAATTTTTTTCCTAAAAGATCCATTGCGCAGACAAACGGCTAACTTCAGACTCGCCAAGATACGTCGGCCGTACTGTAAGCTATGTACGTACACTATTTGTATGTTTCAAAACATAACTGAAAAAAGAAATAAGGTTTACATGTAACATTTTAGTCATACACATCTTTATCGGTCCTCTTGGAAAAACCAAGCTATTAAAGTTTTCTTTAAAAAAACCAGGTGTATACTCATACTTGCATAATCGATGTATTCGTGTGATTAGATATATTATTTATTATAATTTTAATGATTATTATTTATTATGATTAACATTAAGTTCCTTGAACAAGCGAATATGTATACAAACACCTGATGGTTTTTACGCAGTCAGCTAAGCTCACAGAAAACCGAAGTGAAACAACCACAGCGTTGTGTTTCGCAGTGTAAGTGAGGTTATCGGAGGTCCAATTCCTCCCACTATCCCTATCCCTTCCCAGTACCTAAATCTCCAAATCCCTAATCCCTTAAAGGTCGGCAACGCACTCGTGACTCTATTGGTGTTGCGGGCGCTCATGGGCGGCGCTAATTGCTTACCATCCGGTAATCCGTCTGCTCGTTTGCCGTCCTATTACATAACCAAAAAAATTAAATAAGTTTAAAGCTGGTTACAATAATAAAGTTTCTTGCACACTACAAACCTATTACTCCAATTTTTGCCCCGTTATCCCACACTCGGATTTTCTCCTGTGTCGTGGGTGCGTTCACAAACATATAATTTCACATACACATCACACTCAGACCCGAAACAACAATTTGTGGATCACACAAAGAGTTGGTCTGTGTGGGAATCGAAATCGAACCAGTTGCGCGGCAGCTGGTTGCCCAGCCACCGAGCTAACCGTGCAGTGTTTATGGCCTATGGTTGCAAACGAGCAGGTCAAACACCTGATGGTAAGCAATCAGCGCCGCCCATAGGCATCCTCATCACATAGGAGTCACAAGAGCGTTCATGAGACAATCTTATATCCAAGTTTATTGATCCAAATTAATATTAGGTATATAAATGCGAAAGTAACTCTGTCTGTCTGTCTATCTGTCTTTTCTTCACGCCAAAACTACCGAACCGATTTCTGTGAAATTTGATTCAGACATAGTTTGGAACTCGAGAAAGAACATAGGATAGTTTTTATACCAAAACATCTGCAGGAAGTCAATATTCCACGCGAACGGAGTCGCGGACAAAAGCTGGTACAATACATATAAAAACAAACAAACTGCGTGTCAATGATAAAAATAACATTTGCATACAAATCTTGCATAAACCTACATAATTAATGTTGTTATGTAAATTGTTATTAATTAATTTACATTGGAAACTTGTTTTTATAATGTGCCCGTTACTATATCTACCTACATATTTTTGTAGACTTAAGTAATGCTATATTTAATTACACATACACATATAAATAAAACAGTATTTATAGAGGTTATTAAAGTTGTTAATTAAGGGCTTATGTTGAGGATCACGTGGATGATGGTTAGTCCCGAAAAGCCTCAATAACAACATTAATAGACTGGGGTTAAGCTGTTGGGTCACACATGATACAGAAGGTAGTTCTCGAGAACTACCGTTACAAGCTTAACCCCAGTCTTTTTGAGATGGCTCATAGTGTGAGGAGGTTTCAATCTTTGGAACCCCTACCACCGGTAGCTTGGGCCATGTTTCCGCTGCCAGCTGCCCCCTTTTTTTATATGTATTATTAAATATAGTTGTATTTATACGACGTTTTATATAAAATCACAAACTAATTTTTTTTTTCAAATATACCAGTTATGTGCAGGCGCTTTGAATATCAAACTAGAAATAAATAAATATCAAAAACACAGATCAAAACGTTTAACTTCGTGTGTGTCAGTCTGTCCTCTAGTAAAGCTATTTGCTCGGTCTTAAGTGTAGATTCTTATGGAGAAGAATGAGTAAGAAACTTCATGGTTACTCTTTTTAAATCAGTTTTACAATTCTTGTCTTTGTTACATCATTTAGTCGGTTCTATTATTTGAATCTTCAAGTAAGATTTTTTTTTAATAATAATAAAATGACTTACCTTATTTTCCCAAAGTCAATAAGTAGGTTAAGAAAAAAAGTCTTTAAGTGCATCATCATATTTTTTTCTAAAAAAGAAATCTCTTTTACAGAGGAAACCTGCCAAACAGTAGAAAATGGCCTCGGAACCTGCATATCAGTATACGAGTGCCAGCCCTACATCAGCGTACTCCGGGAGTCACGGACCAACCCTAATGCTGTGCAGCTGTTGAGAAGAGCACACTGCGGCTTCGAGGGAACTACTCCTAAGGTAAGATGACCAAGATTAAAATTTTCACGATTACCAAGATTAAAAGCTTAATAAGAGTTTTTTATCGAATAGACCGGCAAATGAGCAGGATTACCTGATAGTAAGCACTCGGAGCTGCCCATGGACAACCGTTGCAAGTTGCAAAATGCGTCGCTGGCCTTCAGGGTTAGGAAATTCAGTGTGGGAGATCCATGCTGTGAGAGGATACGACAAGCTCACAGAAAATACGCTGCCATCGAGTAATGCTAAGAGACAGTAATAAGAAAACTGGCTTTAAATCCATGGATCCAAGTTTTTTTTTTTACTTGCAATAGCCTAGTGCTTGACTGCGATCCCACCTGATGGTAAGCAGTGATGCAATCGTTGATGGTAAGGCGCACTAGTTTATTAAGAGCCTATTCACTCTAGCCTTGAAGACACCTAAATTGTATTCGGACGGAAAGACTGCAGCCGGCAAACTGTTCCAATCCCTCGATGTACGCGGTATAAATGACGAGGCAAAACGCTTAGTCCGGGCCGCAGTTGTCTCAACAACGTAAGGGTGGATATTCGCCGTACGCCAAGTGCCGTTGTTTTGACTTCGACATAATAATTGCACACGCCTGATTACCCCCAGTCATGTGAGACAATTATTTATCTCGGGAAATCTAATCTCAATATTTTCAACTTAGGAACTGAGGATGTAAGTATGTCAGAATAATGAACTTATCCTGAGATACAGATACAGTTTCAAAGATAAAACAAATCTTTCACTAAAGATAATATTGAAAGACGTCCGAAAAAACTTTTCCGTTGTTTGTTATGTAGGTGTGCAAAAGCAAATAGTATTACATCATGGTGGAGAGTATTATGATTTTCTTTTTCTATTATTACACGTTTTGGGTACCGAATCCGTTATAATACTATAATTTAATAAGTATTGGTAGACAAAGCAGAGCCAAAAATAAACAAAAAGGCTAATATTGCCCACTGACTGAGTCACTAGTGGGCACAAAAGAGGATTACCTACCCTAAAAAAAACTTTAAGCTTCAACTAATAACTCATCATCATCATCATCATCCGCCGGAAAACGTACATTGCTGGACAAAGGCCTCCCCTTAGCCCTCCACGTCTAATAACAAGTTTAGTTGCCACCTGCATCCATTGGCTCCCCGCGACTCTGACGATATCGTCGTTCCACCTAGCAGGAGGCCTGCCCACGCTACGTTTTCCGTTCCATGGTCGCCACTCGAGTACTTTTCGGGCCCATCAGCCGTTTGTCCTTTTAACGACGTGGCCTGCCTATTGCCACTTTATCCTGCTGCTGCCTGATTTTACGAGATATGACAATGACTTTTTCTTTGCCGAATTTTCACATTCCAGATTTTGTCGCGCAAAGAGACCCTAACATGAAACATCTCTCATAAAACTTAATCATTCCCCAACAGGTATGCTGTCCACTCCCTGGTTTCCCAGAACCCCCAGTTCCTCTACCTGCGACCACCACAACCACTACGACAACGACTCCAAAACCGACAACAGCGCCACCTGCACCCAATTCTGCAGTGAAGATAAGCCCTGAGGACTTCGTGCCTGCTCTCCCTGACCCTCCGATTTGTGGGTTCAGTAATGCTTCTCTCGGACGAGTCGTCGGTGGCGTGGATGCTGCTTTGGGTAAGATTTGGAAGCTAAGATGCTATTATGACTTAAAATGTAAAAGCTGTACTAATTTAACACCGATAAATTCGTGGATCGATTTCGGAACAAGTAATCTTTAGTCGTTACCAATTCTATCAACAATGTCTGATGAAAAAAAAACTATTATTTCAAAACAGGATTGTCATTTACTCTCGTAGAACCGTTGGAAAGAATTGAAATTCGAAATAGCTGAAATCATTTCAAAAAGTACCTTTAACGAAGAAAACCTTACTTTAGAGCACTTTTTTACTATAATATAAGTAATCAAAGTCTATCCACTTCAGTCAGGATCACCCTGACAAATTTTTACTAAGTTCAATCGCTTCACAATATAACTAACTAATAAAGAGTTCATCATTTTCCCTCCGTCTCACAGGAGACTTCCCTTGGATGGCACTCCTCGGTTACAAGAGTAAAAGGACGGGAACTACAAATTGGCTGTGTGGAGGATCCCTCATCAGCTCTCGACATGTCCTCACCGCTGCCCATTGTATCCACAACCATGAAGAAGACCTGTAAGTACTTTAATAACTTTATATTATTACATTTAAGTTCATCTGTCTCAATAATTACTATGTCGCCCAAGAATTATCTGAGAGCAACGATCTGCAGTTATGCGACTTATAAAGTACGAACCTTTGATCCAATATTTTTCAAACAACATTTGTTTCGATAGGAAACACCGTTGTACACAGGTAGTCGCCTAGACACAAATATCAATAATTATTGTTATACATAAGCGCATGTTAATTGTCATATAGAAATTAAAGTTAAAGAAAAGCAGGGAAAGAAAGAAACAATATTTCCTAGAATTAATACGTCAATTAATTTTTCATCCCTGTTGTTGTTATCGGGGAATGTTAACAGAAGACTGGCAGAAAAATAAAAGAGAAGAGTGGCAATAGAAGAAAGAGAAAGAGAAAGAGTTACTTTCCAAGAAATTTTGCGTTAATGCTATAAACTTTTGACGTTTATAAAGACTCTAGCTTCTTCCAAAGGCTTCGCTCCCGATATCGGGATAAAAAGTAATTCTTCTTTTTTTATAAACGATCGTTTAGAAAAAAAATATTTAACAAGATGGAACGGGGATTTTGAATTACCACTGACGCATAACTATTAAATATTTTTAACCAAAACTATCGCTTACTGATTTTATGAGTCAATGTAAATTAACAGCAGCTAACAGACTTTACCGATCGTTAAATATTCAGTAAGCAAATATCTTCTCAAGAAATGTCAATTTGCTTAAACACACACCGTCAACTACGACCTTTTTAAGAGTATTTTTTCTAAACTTGGAACCTGCAAAATATGGTCAGTGCGTGCGAAATTCTCAACGATGTTTTTTATTTTATTTAAGGAAGGGAGGAAATTCATCGAATGACTTCTCTAGTTAGATGAGGGTAGGAGGGAGTGTCAGACTCTTACTGACTAGAATTCCCCCGTTCCTTCTCCTGCACTAGGTCGAGGCCGCGAAACATTACTGAGCTTGATCCCCAATCTCAGCTGATTAGCTGATTACGATGATGTTGATCTGTATTTTGCTACTACAGGTTCATTACTGGAATACTCCAAAAAGTCTGGATCGCAATCATAAATAAAAACTTGACACAGACGTAGATTACTCATCATCATCAGCCTATAAGTGCCCACTGCTGAGCAAAGGCCCCTTATCATACGAAGAAGGTTAGAGCATTAATCACCACGCTTGCTCCAGGCGCATTGGCGATTTCAAACTTATAATTAGAAATTATAAGTCCAGATTTCCTCACGATGTTTATCTTCACCGTATGTCAGAGGTGTCTAAATAATCATAGAAAGTACATATAACTCTGAAAAAGTCACATTGGTACTTGCCAGGTTTGGAACCCTCATGCATGAGAAGCGGGCTCCTTAACCTCCAAAACAATCTGGAATATACATATGTATAGTGAATAGACTGCTTTTTTTATACTGATAACATAGGCAAAGCCCATTGCAGAACCTAGGATATAATGTTGACGTTGAACCGACCAATGCTAACATTACTTCCGCGATGTTATTTATACATAATGATGCGCGCACGCAGATTACCGACGCGAAATGATGAAGTAAATAAAATCTGCGGTACCTACAGCAATTACGCGGAATTCCCAAGTAATTATTTGGCCATCAATGTGTCAGAATTCTAGTCTACATTTCAACGTAGGCTTTTTTTCATTTCGTGTGTGAAGTTCAGCCATATTGTTTAGTACCTCGGAGCAGGAGATGGAAAATCGTGTTTTGATAGTAACATTCTGCCGTGTGAGTGAGGTTAAAGGAGGCACAATCCCTCTCCGCCCCCAATCCCAAAATCTCCAAAACCCTAATCCCCAAAAAGTTGGGAACGAACTCGTAACTTCGCCGTTGTTACGGGTGTCCATGGGCGGCGCTGATCGCTTACCATCAGGTAATCCGTTTCCGCATTTGCCGTCCTGTCAACGCAATGAGAAAACATCAATAATCGCATCAAAATCAGTTGCGCAGTTTTGAAGGTTTAAGCATACATTCCTATGTATGCTATGATAGAGTGATTAAAGAGGAAGGTTTATATTTATAATAACATCCATTTAACAATGGAGAAATTTAGTATCCGCATTGCACTCGTGTTCAGTGGCGTGCAATTGGGGAGGCCTATGTCCAGCAGTGGACGACAACAGACTGATGATGATGATGATGATGATGATGATGATGATGATGATGATGATGATGATGATTGCACTCGTGTAAAGCCGGGGTGGATCGCTAGTACAAAATATAGCATTTATATATTTGCTGTAGAATTATCCGTCTGATCAAGGTTAAAACCCGGAGTTGCCTACTTATTTATCCATTTCCACATAACGATGTGCTAAAATAACACGTTAGTAGTTTGCGGTAAGCTAACAATGGTCCGAGTTGGAAACACATGGTATTTACAATGTAGACGGCATTTACTTGTGTACTGTAATTAATACTTAATATATTTATTGTATTCCACAATTAAAACTTAGGTGGTAGGGTAGAGGATATCTTTATGTACCTACCCTACCACCTACCTATCAAAGAGCCAATAGACCACCACAGACGGGGCCCTAAAGGCCTGAAGTCCAGCTGGGGTTGCGGGGTAAGCGCAATGAGGCACCGCGAATTCGGCCTAGAACAGGAGAAGGAACGTTTGGTTTTTAGTCAGTGGGAGTCTGACATTCCCTCGGAGAAGACATTTGATGATTTTACCTTCACAAAAAAAAACGTTAAATAATTTAAAAAAGACAAGCCATTCCTTATTTATGGTTTCTATGTCCCACACTGAAGTGCAACAAATGGCAATAATAATATACAAGTGATTTACTCGTGTGAAGTTGTCGAGTAAAGCTCTACCTACTAGTTTCAAGTCACAACGGGACTCTTATACAGGAGCAGCGTGCGCGCCGCGGCGACGTTGCGTAACCGACTAAGAAAGTCTACACTAATATTATAAATCCGAAGAGTTTTTTTGAACGCTCAAAAAAGTCATCATTTATTACAATCATTTATTTCAAATAGACCACAGTAAACACTTTTGTGCGTCAAGAAAAAAAAAACTAAAAAAAATATTTGAAGAGGCCAATCAAGTGCTAATTTTAGAAACTACTGGCCCGAATTGTAAACATCTTTTTTTGCTAAATAGACTATTTATCGAGAAAGGCTTTAGGCTATAAGTATAATATCACGCTATAATCTGTAGGAGCCGAGCAGCGGGTAAAATCGCGGAGACTAGCTAGTATTAAATATATTGAGTATGAATCACGATATTGACTATAAACAAATGTTATAAATCCTTTTTGAAAATACCTAGAAATTCTTGGACCACGTGTGTCGTGTCGTGTGTCATATAGGTAACGAAATTATCTATTAAATAAAACAGTAGTTATTTTTTTTTATCTATTTAATAGGTAGGTAAACGACAAAGCAAATTGACAATAAAACGGTATAAACATGATATTATCAAATCTAACCTACACTCCCAATCTAATTTCCAACTCTAATTCCAACTGATTAAAGTTGAAAAACGAATAAAGGGATGTAATAAATTGATAAGTATAGCTTTATGTGCAACTGTGAACACGTGCTTATCGGATAAATAAGATATAAGTAATCGATAAAATTGTCATTAATGTATCTAATTAACGATTTGATGACTATCGATGTTGGTTCCTAGAATGACTGTCCGCGTTATTTATATTTCCCACGCATTCTGAGAGCGGTGAAAATTATTGTAGTTACATTACTAGGTTACGATATATTTAATTTTAAACTGTGGGAGAGCCAAGCTTCGGCACGAACGGGTCGGCTCGACCGAAGTGATACTACGGCCTCACAGAAAACCAGCGTTGAAACAACCACAGCGTTGTGTTTCGCCGTGTGAGTAACGTTACAGGAAGCCCAATCCCTCTCCCTTTCCCAATCCCTTCCTAATCCTCAAATATCTGAAACTCTTGTAGCGACATCTAGCGCACTACACAACAGCACCAATCACGAACAAGATTCTACATCGCGCTATAAGAGTTTTCAACACAATTAGCACCCATACAGATATCCCGACAACAACCGTCGGGCAGTAGCCCGCCAGGCACGAACACCTCGCCTGGTCGGAGGATCCTCCCTTTTCAATGAGATGAGAATGAGGATGAGGAAGTTTCCATCCTGTTCCTCATACCTCCAAACTGGTGACCCCGAACATGAACATCAAGCAGCCTTCGTGCAAACACTTCATAGCCATGACGTCATCACTTCCTCGAGCTTTCAAGCAGCGAATCCTACAGTCAGCAGCTTGCACGGCTACAACGGGTTCCCTGACCACCAGCATGCAGCCAACGCGCATTCCTGGTCAGCACCTACAGCCTCATCAGCAACTTCGGCACAGCATACTGCACCGGCCGGTCAGTAAGCAGAGACGTACTCCCTCTCCTGGTCGACGCAGCAGCTAGCCACTCTTCAGCACTGCACTACCCGACTCACTGGGCATCTTCGCAGACAGATTCGACGCACTGAAACCATCTACTGGCTCGACAAGCATCTCACAGACGTCTCAACCAGCTAACGACCTCCGGTCTCGGAGGGGAGTGATGTAGCGACATCTAGCGCACTACATAAACAACAGCACCAATCACGAGCAAGATCCTACATCGCGCTATAAGAGTTTTCAACACAATTAGCACCCATACAGATATCCCGACAACAACCGTCGGGCAGTAGCCCGCCAGGCACGAACACCTCGCCTGGTCGGAGGATCCTCCCTTTTCAATGGAGGATGAGGAACTTTCCACCCTGTTCCTCATACCTCTAAACTCTCAAAAGGCCGACAACGCACTCGTAACTCCTTTGATGATGCGGTGCGGGTGTCCATGGGCGGCGCCGATTACTTACCATTGGGTAATCCGTCTGCTCGTTCGCCGATCCTCGTTCGTTGGTCGCATAAATGATTATTATCAATTACCTCTAGTCGTCGTTATTTACACGAAAATACATTATATTA